TCGCCCAGGATATCGCGCGGCAGTCGAGAGCCAATGTGTTGGAGTACTGGGAAATCTTCCGACAACCAACGGCCAAACCGCAACCGGACAATTGGAGGCCACCGAAGGGAGCAGACTACAAGATTAATGTCGATGGATCCTTTGTGCCGGGCCAAGGTCATGCAGGATGGAGTGTCGCGGTGAGAACAAAGGAGGGAACACTTGTTTGCGCCACGGCAGGAAGACAAGAGCATGTCACTGATGCATTCGCTGCGGAGACAATGGCCATGTCGCACGCTATCAGCACAACAGCCGATCTGGGCATCGTTTCTGTTGAGCTAGAGACGGACACGCAGCTTCTGGCCGAAGCCCTTGACGTGCACAAAGTGGACTCCTCGGCGTATGATGTGGTTATTGAGAACATGAAGTACCAGCTCAAACTTTGGTTTTCCAAATTTACTCTCACTGTTTGTAGACGCACTGCAAATTCCGTAGCCCACGAATTGGCCAATGTTGGCCATGGGTGTAACCCAAACGTTCATGGAATGGGAGTCCGATGTACCTGCCCAGGTGGGCGTTGCTGTCTTGGGCGATATGCCTAGGCTCAGTTAAGTAATAAAGCTATGCTTTGCTCTCAAAAAAAATTGAGATATATACTACCACGTATTAGTGTATGAGACGTATCTGCAGCCGGGTTGTATGGTGTATTTTTACTTTGTCACAAAAAAATATTATATATCTCTATATTTACTAGATTTGTTTACATAAAACTGGGAAAAGGAGTATATTGTCAAAACAAGTGTTTGAACGAACATATGTATTTTACTAGTCTTGTCTCGAATATTGCCACTAAAATTTGAAGTGCTTTCTAGTATGGAGCCAGCCAGTGACTTGACGATCAATATATCCAACTGACCTTGCATTGCATGATTACCAGTAAACAAAAAAAATTGGTATATTTGCAAATGTACATTATATATCGAGGCGGACTTATGCCAGCTGGAGACCCTAAACCATTTTGCAGTGTTATTTTTTAAAAAAAAAACTATACGTAAATTAGAATCTTTTTACGAATATGTAAATCATAATCGTGTGTCATGCTTTAAGATTTTTTTAAAAAACTATGTATTTTAATAAATGCTTACATAAGTTTAAAATGTTCACAAGTTTTTTTAGAAACAAATCTTCACAGTTTACCAAAATATTAATGTAGTATATAAAAGTGTTCATGCTTTAATAATTTTTCTTTATATTTTAATAAATGCTTATATAAGTTTATAAATCTTCACAGTAACGAAATACCCATGTAGTCTATAAAAGTGTTCATGTTTTATGAAACATATATTCATATTATGTAAAAATCATTGGCTAGGATTCAACAGTGACATGTAGCAATCAGGTGCGCGTAGCCACCACCCCACCCGACAGCATTTTTTTCTTCAGAAATTTATAAAATATATGTAAATTATAATCTGATGTTATAAATTGTAAATTAGATAATTATGCCCGTAATAATTTTCATATTCAATGAAAATATCAAAGTATTTTTTTCTACATATCTAAATAAAGATTATATATATTTAAATTTTGCATGCTTTAATAAAATATTTATTATTATATAAGTGTTCATTTTTATTCTGCAGTTTATTTTGTTTATAAATAATGCACAATTATAATTTACATATAATATATATATTTTAACAAATAACAGTGCAAAATGGTCAGTAGGGTGTCGAGCCCACTTAAGGTCTACCGAATATATAGAGTGTGTATCCGTTTAGTATGAAAACGGTTCTTGGTCCATTGGTTAGGCAGACGTGCATCCATGCTGCAGAGCACGGGTTCAAAATCAATCAGCCACCATTTTTGCACATAATTTGCTCGCTGACAGATGAACTGACACGTGGCAGTAGCCTTTTTGCGAGAAAAATAATTTCGATGGGATTTCACAAAATAACAGACCACAAGCCCTATCAATACCATTTAATGGCTGCCAATGGGTCCCATGCCATGTGGCGCCCCTAGTTAGCACTGTGTCTGTATACAAATGCGATTTGCACTGTATATGCACGTCAAAGCCAAGTTGTAGCACCAGTTTAATGTATGCCGCAAGTTTTGGCACTAAAGTGATTTCTCACGCCAAGTTTTAGCACCAGTGATGTAATTGACTCATTTTTAATTATCTCTACTACTAAAGGGACATTTGTTACCACATGAAACATGTGGTAAGCAATCCAAACAATTCAAAAAAAAAGGACGTTTGTTGATTTCGCTTACATCGCTTTCACCCCCTCCCATCGATACACCTCTCCCACCCTTTTGTTCAAGCCATGCGATAACCACATATTTTTTTCGTTAACAAACCCCGACCTCCTTGTTTATGGGGATAGAAATCTCTCGCAAATAGATCAATACTTATCAAATAAATTGCCGATATCAAGAAGTCCCTTAGAAGCAAACAATAAATTGCCTATACAATCTCAATCACATTATATATTTCCGTACATTTTGCATATGAATTCCCTTCCCACAAGATATCTCAATCTCAAACTAATCATTTTTTTTCTAGATTGAACCATCAGCCCCCTTGCAACGCACGACTATTTAGCTAGCTACCAATGAATTTGCATTGATAATACTTAATCACAAACAACTAAAATGATGAGAAATATAACATTAAAACATAAATTTTAAGCCTATAAAACACACAAAATTCAAAAGAAGGGAGATAATAGTTTCATAAAAAAAGAAGAAATACCACCTGGTACGTGAAGCTGTCCTAAGAACTGGAAATACGAATGAAATAAAACTTAGTTTTCTAGGAAACCAGTTATTATTAAAACCAATGTTTCTGGGTTTTTAAATAGTTCTAAAAAGGAAATTAATGTGAATGAACTAGGGAAACAAGATACATTAGAAATCAGCAATTTCCTAGGGAAGTTAGGGGAAAACCTTCATTGAAATTCATGGTTTTCCTGCAAGAACATGTGGTAGTATTTCAGAAATTTTTGTGTTTTTTTGGTCTATTGCTTGATCTCTTTCAAAGTTTCATATATTTTATTGCTAGTTTCGTTTGTCCACTGGATGCCATTTGTGCAAACCATAACCACGTCATAATCGACATTATCCTTTACATATATAAAACCAAGTCTGCAAAGAACTAAGATTTGAGAGAGCAAGATATTCATTTTGGAGTCATATAATAAAGTTGAATGAGTTGTGCTCAGATGTTCAGACACAAGGTAATTGGACCTTTCCCCACTATAATCAAAACCAACGCAACGGTGTGTTTCCGTATAACATGCAAAGAAAAATGGAAACTGTTCGGTTTTAGCGTTAACTGATTAATTTAGACTTCACGAGTATTTGAGAGACCAAAACTAAACGAGTGTTTTTGTTTCTTTTCATTTTGTAAAAAAAATATGTAAAATGATGATCTAAACGCTCTTATGTTTCTTTATCGAGGGAGTACTAAACTTCACAAAACCAATATTTCGAGACACAACTAGCGAACAACAAGTACTGCTCTTCCGTCAATTAATTCTGATCGGAGGGTTACATTTTATATTGAAAAACGTTTGTGGCCCGGGCGTCGGCGGAACCGGTGCGCTGGACGCGTCCACGCGCACACGCTTCTAGCGAAGCAGCTGGCGACACACGTACGATGCGGGGCCATCTACGTTGCATATCTTCTCTTTCTTCCACCTCCCGCATCTTCTCTCTCTCTCTTTCTCTCCCCCATCGCACCTGCTGCCCCCGTGCACCTGTTGCTCCTCCTCTTCTTCCTCCCCCTTCTCTGCAGCACGCGGCCGCACATCCTAGGCTCTCCCCCGCCGCTCCCCTCCCCATGCTGCAACCAAGTGCCAAGGCCCAGAGGTGGTCCAAGCTTCCTTGTCGGGCTTCTGCAGCCGGTGGTGGCGCTCCAAGCAACAACCTTTTTTTGTGCTTCAACCGGAACAGTGTTGTGAAATGAAGACAAGGGCAATGCTACAACCGACAAAGTCGGAAGCTACAACCGGCTTTGGTGAAAGCTACAATCGAAGAGTAGAAAGCTACAACCGACCATAGTGTACGGGCAAAAGCAGGAACCAGAGACAAAAAAAGTTACAACCACCAATACGAGTGTTGCAATCATTGATAAAAAACTTCAACCAGCCACTGCCAAACTCACAAAACTGCAACTATTACGAAAAAAAAGCTTCAACCTTAGGTGGAAAAAGCTTCAACCGAAAGATATATAAAGTTTCAACCGAGCACTGCAAGACGAAAAAAGTTGCAACCATTTACAGAATAAGCTTCGATCATAGAGGAATAAAAGCTTCAACGAACAAGGTGGAAAGCTTCAATCCGTGAAAAAAGCTTCAAACAACATAGGAAAGCTTCAACCGGTGTGAGAAAAAGTTTCAACTGACGCGCCAATGGCGCGGGCGGCGACATGAGAGCTGCGGCGGGCGGCATGACAGTGTAGCGATGGGTGACGACGATGGCAACTAGGTGCTGCAACGACAAAGGGCGTCAGCGTGCTACAAGACGACGCCATTTTTGCTACGAGGGGCGACGACTTTCCCGCTATACCGGCGAGGACGGATGCTGCGACAGCGACCGGCGGCGATGAGGACGGCGAGTGCATCCAGCAACACGGGGCGATGGAGGAAGGAGATCCAAGTGAGGGGGTGGTGGCTGACGACCGGGAGGATGTCCAGGCGAGCGAGGGCATTGCGCGCAGAGCGAGGAAAGAAAGAAGGAGATGGGGCAGTTGTGCTTGTGCATTTGGTTGAACTTTCCGCCCGGCACCCGCTACTAGAAATCGAACACCACGTGCTTGTGCAGTTGTGCTCATATCCATCCAGGAAAAAAGGAGCGAAAAAAAAACAAGAAACAAAAGCGAAGCCAGAGAGAGAGCCAAAGGGCCGGGCGTTCCTCTTCTCTGCCGACCAAAACCCTAAACCCTAGCCCGACTAACCCCCTCCCCCTCCTCCGGCGGCGGCGCCAGCCACCGGCAGCACACACACCGGGCGAAGATGCCGCTGGGGCAGCGCGCCGGGGACAAGAGCGACTCCCGCTACTGCGGGGTCGAGGTGCTCGACTTCCCCGCCGGCGACGGCCTCCCCGCAGTCCTCACCCACTCCCTCTCCTCCGCCTTCGACTTCCTCCTCGCCCCGCTCGTGAGTCCCCCTCCTCTCCCGCTCCTACCGCCGCCGCCTTCTCGCGTCATCCCTCTGAAACGGAGGCTTATTTGCCTTGCCCCGCTCTGTGCAGGTCGATCCCGAGTACCGGCCCACGCCCGGCGCCGTCCTGCCGGTGGCGGCCTCGGACCTCGTCCTCAGCCCGTCCCAGTGGAGCAGCCACATCGTCGGGAAGATCAGCGAGTGGATTGATTTGGATTCCGAGGACGAGCAGCTCCGGCTCGACTCGGAGCTCACGCTCAAGCAGGAGATCGCCTGGGCGACTCATCTCTCCTTGCAGGTCCACCCACTCGACAACACATTACTCATTATTTGTTCCTATCAGTCTAATTTCAATCAGTTGGTTTTACACATTATTTATTATTACACTTGTAAATGGTAACTGCAATAACATACTCCCTCCATCCGAAATTACTTGTTGCGGAAATGGATAGAAATGAATGTATTTAGAACTATAAAATACATTTAGATAATCCATTCCTGTGACAAGTAATTCCGGATGGAGGGAGTATGAATTATCTAGTTATGCCGTTCAACATTGTTGGGGGTGCCTATCGACTCTGAAGAACTAGAAACATGGATAATTCCTGTCCAGTTGACTGTCTTTGGATTCCTTAACTGCATTACTTTATTAAACTTGATCCAGTTCTTATGCATTATTAGAAAACAAGTCTCAACAAAACATGTGAATTCGTGGCGCATTTCCTTGCAGGCGTGCGTTATTCCTCCTCCCAAGAGATCGACCTGTGCCAATTATGCTAGAGTTGTAAATAATATTTTGCAAGGCCTGACCAATATGCAGGTATCACCCTCCATATTCAGTTTCATCTTTCAGTTGTTGAATAGGTGCCTTATTGTTAAATAGTTTGTCGACATCTAACTTTTATTTGCTCTGTTTCTTTCTTAAGTTGTGGCTTAGGATACCTCTGGAGAAGTCTGAATCTATGGACGAAGACCGTGGCAAAGTAAATAACAATAACCCCACGGTAAATGTTTGTTCTACCAAGCCTAGCAGGGGGTGCCTAGCGCGCATTCAAGGCTAGCAGGCTGGCTAGGCGTTTGTCTGCCAGAGCAAAATGCTGCAGTTCGTTGATGGCCAAGTATACACACTGCTGCGTAACTCAATTTTTGTTTTCTTAAATTACAGAGTGAAACAGTAGACTCGTGGGAATGGTGGAATTCATTCAGACTGTTATGCGAGCATAGCAGTCAACTGTATGTAGCACTTGATATCTTGTAAGTGATGACTTGCATTGTCACACCAAAAAAATTCTTGCAAAATAAAGATTTCACTCTAATTTAGTAATTTCATCTATAATGTTATAGCTTTGGTATCCCTTAAAAATGTTGTCTATTCACTTATCAGGAGCTCGCTGCCATCAATGAACTCTCTAGGGCGCTGGTTCGGGGAGCCTGTAAGAGCTGCGATTCTTCAAACAGATGTAATCATACAACTTAATCAATCCATCTTGATATGCAATCACCTCCCTCCCGGGGTATTACAATATGCCTTGCATGTTTGCAGCACTAAATAATTTTCCATCTGCAGGCTTTTCTAACAAATGCAAGAGGTTATCCTTGCTTGTCCAAACGCCACCAAACTCTGCTTACTGGTTTTTTTAACCATTCAGTTCAGGTAGGTTCTTTATTATGCTTCTTTATATCAAAGCAGTTTTCTTCTTCGCATAACAGCATAGCCTTTTGAATTAATGGCGCAATACAATACGGCAATACCTGCCCTCCTTTTGCATTCATGGTGCTAAGTAAAAGAGGCAATTGATGTGTGTGTAGTGTTCTGCCTGAAGCCCTGAATTCTGATTTTGTTTAGGTAATTATCTCTGGGAGATCAAATCATAATGTTTCCCAAGTATCTGAAGGAGTGCTCTCAGGTGATGAAAACCACACCGAAGGTAACTCCTGTGAACTTTCAGATTTGTTATAGTTCAGAGGGTCTTTAACTTGCACATGATTATGTAAACAATATTTTCGTTACATACATTTAAAGTGACTGCAGTACTCTAAGAAGTAAACTTTGTGAAGAGATCAAACTTAATTTCTCCCTTTTAATGTGAGAAATGTGTCAAGTCTATTATTTTCCTGCTCTCTGAACTAAATGCCTTGACTTGTGACACTTGCTGCAAAAATACCATTTATTTCCATTAAAATGTGACTCACTCATGCCTAAATTGTTACTTCAGATACCCCCACTCGGCATGCATTGAGCCCGTACCTCGAGTACATGGCCTACCTCTATCAGAGGATGGATCCACTTCCTGAGCAAGAACGCTTTGAGGTATCCACTCTAGTAGACTTCCTCTCACCCATGACCCATTGTTTATCTTATTTACTGACATCTTTCTTGATCTTATGTTATTTGCCTTACTCCAGATCAACTATAGGGATTTCTTGCAATCTCCGCTCCAGGTAATTACTGCTTTGCTTATTCTCAAGTTCTAATCACCTGAAAGAAATTATTCTTTCTCGTGAAGTTATGGGGCATATGGGTCTCCTTTTTAACTCCATTACAATGAATGTGACATTCACTTCCTCATAACTTGTCTATTTATTTATTTTGGCAGCCTCTGATGGATAATTTGGAAGCTCAGACGTATGAGACTTTCGAGAAAGACACTGTGAAGTATACACAGGTTTCTGTCATATACTTGGAATCTGTATATCTTTAATGCTATACATTTTGAAGAAGCAACATTGCCTTCACTTTATGTCAATAGTTTCCATCAATACATTTGTGAGAAGAAAGTTAGCTATTAAATTGAAGTTTCTAAAAATACGTTCTCATTTATTTCTTCCAAACTATTGACAATAGCATGGTTCTTCTACCAGTTAGTACACCCTGAAAGTATTTGAGAATTACTATACACAGGTTTCTGTCATATACTTGAGATTTATAGATGCATGCTTCAGCTATCACATTTTTTAACATTAGCACTTAATAGCCAATGAACCAGGTTTTGTAAAGAAATCAAGGATAAAAATTCCAGCCCTTCTTTATTAACTAGGGAGTCTGGAATTCTATTTTTTGGCTGGTTGGTCAGTCTAACAGCACTCTTCATACTAGTATTGATCTCATTGCTAATTCCTTTTTTACATCATATGAACAGTATCAAAGAGCAATTGCTAAGGCTTTGGTTGATAAGGTCTCAGAGGATGAAGTTTCCACAACTAGGACGGTACGATTGGCCCTGAACTTTGTATTCTTTTTCCTATATAAAATGGTAGCAATTCATACTTGAATCGCTTTAAACAGTGATTCATAGAGCCATGAGTTGGCAAAAGCATGCATTCATATCTTGTTTCTGCATTGCCTCTTCTGCATCTGTAGCCAATCCAGCTTATGCCTGTTTTATTTGTAATATTCCTAGGCTGAAATCGTAGACAGCTCACTGGAGCTTATTTCCTGCACCACTCATATTAAACCTACATTTTTATTTTAATGTTATATTTTGCATTTAATCAACTAATTTATTCGCTGTTCCACAAAGGTCTTGATGGTTGTTGGAGCAGGCCGAGGGCCTCTCGTAAGAGCATCATTGCAAGTGAGTTCTTTTGCTCCTGACACTTGGGGTGTTACCACAAACTTTGATAAATTTGCTGGTGTTTAAATAATGTGCCTGTATTTTTTGTCGAAGAAAACTTCTTTGTTCATATTGTCCAGGAAGCTAAATAGGCTTTCATATTAAATGCAGGCTGCAGAAGAAACTGGTCGGAAGCTAAAAGTATATGCAGTGGAGAAAAATCCTAACGCAGTTATTACTCTTCATGTGAGTTCTTATATTTTCAGTTTTCAAGTTATTCCATTAGACAGGGGTGTAATCTTGTCAGTTTAGGGATCATTGATGCATCTCTTTTTCCCTACCATTGTGTTGGTAGTCTGTTTTTGCATTGCTGCGTTAATAAAAATATATTATATGATGATCTGATTGGTTTTCGGGCACTGGTGCAGAGTTTGATCAAATTGGAAGGGTGGGAAAGCATGGTTACTATTATTTCTAGTGACATGCGGTGCTGGGATGCTCCTGAAAAAGCTGATATTTTGGTATGCTGATACTTTATTCGAAAGTGACATTTCAAATCTCTTACCAGGCAGTCACAACTATGTCTTAACAATCTTACATGCAATTATGAAACAGGTCAGCGAGTTGCTTGGGTCCTTTGGTGATAATGAGTTATCTCCTGAGTGTCTAGATGGTGCCCAAAGATTCTTGAAGCCTGATGGGATTTCTATTCCTTCATCGTACTGACCTTTTTCCCTTTTTGCATTATTATTATATAATTGAACTTCTCTGCATTCTTTCAATCCTAGGTATCCTCATATTTCTTATTATTTGATTGTTTTCATATGTTCTGCTGCAGTTACACAAGCTTTGTCCAACCAGTAACTGCATCAAAACTACACAATGATGTAAGTACTTACGCCATCTCAGTGATATCTGCAAAGTTTCAATAGAGCTTGAAGCGACTTTGTTTTTGCAGATTAAAGCACACAAAGATATTGCACATTTTGAAACGGCATATGTTGTCAAGCTACACCGAGTAGCAAGACTTGCACCTCCACAAGAGGTGAGAGACTGCACTTTCTGCTCAATATGCCCTTCATTGATCATGCCTTCCTCCAATAACTATTTTCATAACGACATTTGATGATCACCTTTAAATGAGCAGGTTTTCTCTTTCACACATCCAAACTTCTCACCAAAGGTCAGCAACCAAAGGTATACAAAGTTGCAGTTTGAACTACCACAAGACACGGGATCATGCCTTGTGCACGGTATGCAGCTGTACTTGCCATTCAGTTTTCTATTCTGTAAAGCTATTCATATATCACTCTAACTCTACTTATCCAATCATTTTGGCAGGATTCGCTGGATATTTTGATGCCGTACTATATAAAGATGTCCATCTAGGAATTGAGCCGAACACATGTACACCAAACATGTTTAGCTGGTAAGTAGCAAACTGTCAACCCGCTGCTCTTAAAAACCAGCAGCAATATTTTCCAAATCCTGCAATTTAGTCATAATTCTGACATATTATGAACATTGCCAGGTTCCCAATCTTTTTCCCACTGAGGAAGCCCATATACGTGCCGTCAGAGTCGCCCATAGAAGTGCACTTTTGGCGATGCTGTGGTGCCACCAAGGTCAGTGTGGTTTCCATCGCTGTTGATCCTTTGATAAATGAATCCTGCAACGGACCAGAGTCTCATGTTATCAGCTGTTGATTCAGGTGTGGTACGAGTGGGCTCTGGTGGCGCCGTCTCCTTCCCCAATCCACAACAGCAATGGCCGTTCGTACTGGGTTGGTCTATAATTCGAAAAATCAGAATACTCGCATGTCGTTTCTTTTGAGAGAAGTGACGATCATATGCTTGGTTTTTGAGTGCGTCCGGCTACCTGGATCAAAGAAACAGATCTTAGAACATGGATGCATGGCACATGCTGTAACTCGCAAGCTTTTGCTTTGTAACACTATTTACTTGTTATTGTTGCTGCCGCGCTGCTCCTTGTGCGTGATACGGTTTTAGGAGCTGAGCTCATCATCAGTTTTGACCTTGCCTTTTGTGTTCTAGAGGTGCATGAACATGCGGAGATGCTCGTAACAAGTTGCAGAGACGCAGATCAGTTTCGCGTGCAATTTGTTAGTTTTGTACTCGTAACTGCTCGTCAAAATGTGTTTCGTTCGTCTGGGATGGAAAGCAAGTGGCTTACTGGAGAATCACAAACGTGCATAGGGTTTACTACTCAAATACGGAGTATATTTCTCGATGTTTGAGAAACTCTATGTGCCTCCAAAGCAGAGCAAAACTGCAGAAGACATTCTCAAGTGGAGCAGCAGGGTTGCACCGTACTACGTCCGGTATATATTAGTTTCTCGCTCACATAGCACGACGCAGCTGAGCGTCGTAAACAGAACGCGTGGCGGCACTGAAGTTCAATTGGTGTTGAATTGTGATGTAAACTTATTTTATAATCCTGAATGGGAATAAACAGTTGGTTAACCTTCAGGAACATATCCCCCCCTTGAGCTTTAGTCCCGCCACATCAGCAACGTATCCACTGGATGGGGGTCATCCTCCTTTTTTTCAAAGAAAAGAAAAGACGCGCATCAGGAACATGTCCCCCCTTGAGCACTAGGAGATCATATGTTGGACTGGATACATGACTATCATGGAGACTAAGCAGCTAGGTGTGGACTTTGCGAAAGTCTTTTAGGCGTCGATTTTGTCAATTGGTCTGGTTGAGGAAAAACAGAGGAAAAAAAAACATCATCTACATATTGTTTGGTTGCCCGCATCTAGGCTGGAAGCAGTTTTGGCATGACGTTTGGTGTCCTGTAATTGGCTCTGTTCATGCAATTACACGGTGTTTGGTTGCAAATAGGCAGTGAGGTCTGCTTATCTTGTACCCTATGTGGCGAGGTTATTAGCTACACCTTACATACGATCACACCAATAAAACAAAACTGCAACCACGACGAACTAGACGGGTGATTATGAAGTTCTTCGGCCCAAAACCGTCGATCCGACTTGCCAACTTCAACACTACATGCTTGCTTGAGCATGGCCTTAGCTAAGAATCCTCTCCTGTCTGGCTGCTCTTAAACCCTCTGTACCAGCTATTTTTGTAACTCGTTACTTGGTAATCGCATGCTTTCCAAACTCCTGGAACCCTCTCTCGGAACAGCACATAACACTTGTTCTAGTATGGCAAAAGAGAAACAAATCAAGCAACAAATAATGGAGCACATTAGACATGTAACATAATAAAGCATGGCATGATCATAGCATAGCAAGTTCATCCTACCACTACTATGGTATCATCCTACCACCACATTCAAAAGAGGATGTAATCCTATCATCACAAGTTCGCCATCAACGTGAGGGGTTAATATATACTACCTCCGTCCTGGTTTATAGGTCCCCTTTGTAGTTTGTGCCAAATTTTGACTAAAGATTTAACTAATAAAATATTAATGCATGTCAAGAAAAATTATCTTATTGGATTCGTATTTGAACATAGTTTTCAAAAATATAATGTTTGGTGACATGCATGAACACTTTGTTAGTTTAGTCTATGGTCAAAATTTGGCACGAAATACAATGGGGACCAATAAACCCGGACGGAGGTAGTATCACCTCATCAAAATATACAGACCAACAATAGTTCCCAAGCCCTAACTACCACAAAGTATACATGCAATAGTATTTTCTTTCCTTATTTTTGGTATTCGTTGTATTGTTATGTAAAAATTAGTATTTTTTTTGTCACCCCGCTCCTCTGTTCTATCCCTCTTCCTTAAAATAAGGAAAAACCTCTCCCACGCCGACGCTGACACGCGGGCCCACAGTGGGGACCAGCTAGCTAGTGTAGAAAACCGGAAAAGAATCCAGAAGCTTCCCGAGGCACGTGGGCACTCGCCGCGGGGGAGAATAAAAGAGTCAAAATTGGAGCCCCCCCCGCCCCATACCCCATACGATCCGCGACGCGCACAGAAAATTCTGGTGGCAATCCTCTCCTCCTCCGGGGAAGAAGCCTCTCGATCCCCCGAGAAGGGGCGCGCGACCTCGCGGATCTCCCACCCGCCCGGCCGTCCTCCCTCCTTCGCTCGCCGAGAGATCTGTAGCTCGATCCGCCGATGGAGGAGACGGCGGCCGTGGCGGCGGCGACGGAGACCGTGACGGCGGCGGAGACGGGGACGCCGGAGAAGTCGTCGTACAGGTACTGGGTGCGGCAGGCCACGGGCGAGGCGGCGCCTCCCCCTGTCCCGCGCAAGCTCGACCCCTCCGCCGCCAACGGCGGCGGCGGCAACCCCAACGCCCTCGGCTCCGTCTGGAATCAGGTCAGAGGCCCTTCTCCCCACACTTATGCGCGCTGCCGCCTTAAGGACTGGCAGCTACCCGCGTTGCCGGAAGTAATACCTAATATCTCGTTCGTACTACATGATTGCATACTTCTGTACACAGGGAAATGTCGATTCGCCATCATAAACCTCCTTCGGTCCCCATGAACCCACTCGGTCGATTTTTTAGTATTGGCATATCTGTAATCTCCGCTTGCTGCCAGTGGATTGTGGGGGTGCATTCACCCTACGTGCAGGGAATTTGTGTATTGCCGCACATTGCACACATCAGTATTGCTGTTCGACAATATATTCTATCTAGATAGAGCTAGTGTAACAGTGTTCCTGTTTAAAAATAAATAAACTATTGAATATTGATGTGGATTCACAGCAAAATCAAAATTGATTAAAGAAGAGAGGGAATGGTCTTGTGTTGTTTGAAGTTCTGCAACAAAGACTAGCTTTGCAGTACATAACTTTGGTGTACTCTACAGCTCTGCTCTAGGCATAGTTGCTACTTGGCCTCAAGCTCATAGTTCTAGTTTTACAATTGCATAAATAGAGGAATAAATATGCAAAGGGGAAAGAGATCTGATTACACTGGGGTTTGAATTACTAGGACGATACTTGAGTTAGTATATACTGGTGGTCTTGTGCATTTAGAGGAGCTGTGGCCGGCATCTTACTAGTAATAACCTATATGATTCTCTTGATGAGTTAAATAGAGATATGGAGTACACTTACGGCGACCTCAAGAAATTTAGTAGCAGCCTTATAACTTCCGAGTTTTGAGTTGTTTGGACAAATTTACTTCTATTGCTGACTCGTACCATCTGCAAACTGTCCAGATTTGGTTCTACCACCTTCGGCGTTTTCTTTTTTTGCTGTAGCTGCCTATTTTTTCGATACCGTTATCTTCTGGGATGGTTATGCTGCTAATTGCCAATCTACTATTTTCTGACATTTTTCATGTTTGCACTTGCAGGCTGGAACATGGGAGGAAAAGAATCTCAATTCATGGGCTAATGGTAGGATAAAGGTGCGCGGTTTAGTAGCCAGCTGTTTACAAAATGCTTGTCTAAAATAGTTCACTGATGCTTCCATTGTATGTATTAAATTTCTCTGACAGTTATTAGCTCATATGTACTGTAGGATTTGCTGGGTTCTTTAGGTTCACTGGATTTCTCCACGGGGAAGGCATCTATTGATGAAGTGTCCAAATGCTCAGGCGATGTAAGCACAATGTCTGACAAGACCGTTCAATTCCATCAATTCATAACTATTTTTCATAACTTGATAACCTTTTTGCACAAAGTAATCCTGTCATGTGTGTAATTTAAATAACTAACCATATCCTTGGTGGTTTAACAGGCATTTCTAGTAACGGTCCGTAATAAGAAGAGAGTAGGTTATAATTATGAGCTGAGCTTGAGATTTAAAGGTAAGGCATATATCATGCCAAACATTGCATCGCCTCATTTATTTAAAATATGTATTACTCCATTGTCGCTAACTCGTTTGTGGTAATGCTAATTAGGTGAATGGTTAGTCAAGGAAGAGAAGAAGAAGGTCACTGGCCATATAGACATCCCCGAGTTTTCATTTGGTGAGCTTGATGACCTTGAGGTACAAATAACCACTACTGTTCTCTATAGTGCCTGTACCATTTATAATCAATTACTGGGTATTGGTTGTCTCAAACAATCCCTTCTGATTTCAGGCAGAAGTGAGGTTCACCGATACCCTCGAATGGGACGACAAGTCGCGGATCTGCAAGGATGTGAAATTGTTCCTTTCGCCTATAAAGGAGAAGCTGCGGGCGTTCGAGCTCGAGCTGAAAGATAGGTAGTGAACGTCTGCGAGTGCCGGCAGGTGCTAGGCGCTGTTTCAGTGTTGTGTTACCCATTCTTGTAGCTGGGACTCTCTGCGTTGTGTCGGATTAAGCTATGCTGTCTAAGACTCTCGAGGTCATGTTATTCTTGTTTCTCCAGTCAGTGTAAGATTACACGGTTGCCACATGTTCGTTGATGGCTTAGATTCCGTGTTGCTGTTCACGTTTAGTGTCATGAACCCAACAGAAACACATATGATGATGATGATGATGATGATTACGATGTCTCACCAGAATATGTTGGTATCCGTCCTGTCGGAGATGATAGTTTGAGCCTTTAATGAGAAGGTGTTTGGTTAGGCTTAACTTTGATTTTGGATTTTGGCTTATGAGCCAAAAAGCATCTATTTATGTGCTTTTGGCTTTTGGCCTATATACCATGGCTGTCAGGACCGTCTGCCCTGCCTCGATGAATGCAAATGCGGGCGAATGGCCACCCCATCTTGATAATCAACTTATTCCTTCTTCAGATCTCAATGATTAAAGCCTGGTTTGGAATCACTCCGCCCCGCTCCACTCCGTGGAGCTGGGCTTGAGCCGCTCTGTGAAAACGAGCTACAGCATGCTCCACTCTGAAAGCGGAGTCGAGGGAGTGGAGTGGAACCGAAGAGACACTAAATTGATTGCATAAATGTGAAAGAAAGACAGAGAAAATGATCGTTTACCCACGGGGGTAGTTTGATGAAGACTCCGTGAATTGGTTGATAGACAGGAAGGGATGAATAGGTAACTACGAATTTTAATGTAATTGGCAATTTCAGGATATTGATAAAGTTGGTTATTTAGATATGCAATTAGGTGAAAACAATCTATACCTTAAGCAAACAAGCAATAAGGTA